AATACAAGTAATTCAGAGGCACCAATAAGCTTTTGGTGCTCACGTTAACTACATCATTTTAAGAACAGTTAAAACACATTTACGTTGTCAGGAAAAGCATGGAGTTTGATGCAGATCATTTATCCTATTACCCTGAGCTGCAAACTTACTACCCCGAAGGAAGAAGTTTGGAGTTCTTCTGTGAAGATACGGCAAGATTTTCATAGTAACTCTGCAACAGAGTGATTCCAAGTTAGCAGCTCTAACAGAAAAGCAAGTTTTAGCTCAACAAATGAAACGAGCAACCATGCGCCTGGGCTCTTACCGTGACTTGCTCAGGCCTTGAGCCAGACTGCGTTCCCGAATCCTTGTTTTCATCACTTCGTTATAATCGCCATTTTTGAAAATAGGATGAGCAAACCAACCTGCAAGAAACTAAGCCAGGAAAAAAAGGCAGAGGGATAAACTACGTATCAGAGCAAATGGTTTAACTAATCCTCTCCACGTGCTGCTTTATATATAGCATCTGAATTTATGCTGCTTTATATATAGCATCTGAACAAGCATGTGGAGGCAAAGAGATGCCTGTATAATAGCAGCAAATTTAATGAGCTTTCCACAGCGCCATACTGTTTTGTCACATTTCCGCTGCAAAGTTGACCAGCCAACACCAGAGGAGGGTGATAGGTTCCTTGCAATGACACCTCTGGCAAGTCGGGCTCACCTTTTTCTCTCCTGCTGGTGCAGTGAGATGGTGACCTGCGTTCTGGGCGTCTCCAGCACACAGAGAGGCGGGCAGGGAGACAGACAAAACGGTGAGCAGCAGGGAGAGCTGCGGCCGCACGCCTCACCGTACCTGCACGTATCGTCTGGCAGCATCACGGTCTTCCTGCTTGTACGGGTTCCTTGGCTCTGCCCAGTCAGAGTTGATGGTAATAGAGATTAATCCTCCTTGTTTTGCACGGTAGGTCTCATTGTACACGTGCCAGGCTTCGGCATGAGCCTTTATTAGGTTGTGCCCCACAACGTAGGGGGCTCGCCCTGGCCTAAGGGAGATACCTGCAGCACAGAGACAGCGATGGCAGAGGCAACGGAGCAACTATTTCTGACGAAATTTTTCATCCGCCTCTTCCGAGGGCACCACAAGGCGCAGGATGTCCACAACTGCCCCACTAGTAAGTGAATAAACAGAGCAGCACCTGGTGCCCGCGGGCCCGGCCAGCGGCCGAGAGCCCTGCTTCAGCAGAGAGGGCTGCAGCGGGCAAGGTGCGTGGGGCTCTGCATTGCCCCTGCCTCCCTCTGCTGAGGGACGCGAGCCGGCTTAGCCCTCCGCCCGTGCAGCGGCTGCAGGCGCGCCACGCGGCGCAGGGAACCCCCTCCGGCTACGGGCTCTGCTGCCAGCACGGAGAGCAGAAGGCTGTGCGCTCTGGCAGCTGCCTGTCCGCATCCCTCCCCTTCCCTTGCGCCTACCCTACAAGTGAGGCTGGCCCTGCTCCAGCCCTAATCCTTCTTCCTCCTCTGAAGGTTCAAGAGCTTTAAAAGCTGCTGCTCTGGTAACAGGGTCTGCTCCACACAGCAGATGAATTTGGAGGTTGTGGAGGGTGGGGGGGGATAGAGGAGCGGTAGAAGGACGGGTCTTGGAGGCATACGGTTTTGCAGAGCAAAAGGAGGTCCCCTTCACTACCCCCACAGCAGTCCAAGCCCCACTTATCCCCACCGTACTGCCTTCCTTCCTCCACCTCTGCAAGCCCCTGGCACCTACTCTGCTGCAGCAGACGACAGCACTGGGCCTGCAGCGCTGAGAAGGCTCCGAGGTTATGCCCAGCAGACTTACCTGGAGCGGCTGTGCCTGTGCCATAGCCATACTGTGCCACGTTGTAGGGTTCATTGATGGTTATCCAAAACTTCACTTTATCTCCCAGTCTCTGGAAAAGGAGCTCAGCATACTCTTTGAACCTCTGAACTATAGTGTCGTTCTCCCAGCCCCCGATGTTCTGCAGCGCCTGCGGCAGGTCCCAGTGATAGAGAGTTACCTGTGGGGAAAGGGAGCGAGAGAAACGATTCAACCAGGCATCCAATCCACTTTCAGAAACGAGGACAATAAAACAGCCTCATCTACAAATATAAACCTGCTTTGATTTGCACAGTTACGGTTGCTAACGGGCACGTACTGATTTATAGTACACTAAGTGCCCTCTAACACGCGGTGTTCAAGTTCATAGCGATCCTGCGTACGCTCAAAGTACCTCCCTGCCAGCGTTTCAGTTTTTTAGGATGTGGGGAAATGACTAACTCGAGGGGCATGCCTGATTGTGACGGTCAAGCCTTTACCTCCAGCCTTACCAAAAAAAACCCACAACCACCTTGTAATAGCAAGAACTCAAGCCAGTCAAGAGTTGCTGTGCCTGCACCGACTCTCAGACGAGAGAACAGCCCGGTAAAATACCTATTTGGTTTGCTGCACCTATCTGACCACTCTAGAGCAAGACCACAAAGACACAGCTCGGCTCAGGCACGAGCTGATGCTTGCACGCATGCGGCGTGTGGTGCAGCCACCACCCACCCGGGCGGCTGGGAGCTCTCACTGGTGCTCAGCAGCTACCAAGGCAGAAGCGTTGGCCACCTTCCCTCCTGGCGAGCTTATCTGTCAGAGCGCAGAGGCCAAAACAAAGGAGGAAAAGGCTGTTTTTTTCCAGCCACCCCGCTGTATCGTTTCAATAACGGATACAGTAGCTACAGAGCAAAGCTTTGGACAAATAAGGGAAACAACCCCAGACAAAAAAAACCCCACACAATTATCTGTACTTCTTATGCAAGTCATTAAGTTTTGAATTAAATTCGCATTAGGATGGACTGTCCTATTACAGTTATGCTACACCTACTGCTGAGCTTAGCAGGTGATTTATCATCCAAAACATTCCCAGCGAGGAATCCAAATATTCCAACCTGTCAGAATCCGACCGACCTGACCGAAAACCTACTTGGCTAAGCAAAGAGTGTCTTAATGAGCTAAAATACAAAAAAGTAAGCATGTAAAAAGCGAAGGCAACAGGGACTGCTTGTATGGGGACAGGTCAGACTACCCTGAGGGGGTCGAAAGGGCTGGCTGATGCAGCTGTGAGATCACTGTCCGGTATCTGAGAAAATCACGGTGACCAGAGATTGCCGACTCCTGGGAAAAGAATAAGGTTACCCGCTCTGCCACGAAAGGCAAGGGGGAGCTGGCCTCACCTTAGTCCCTGGAAAAATCACTGAGCAGGTCCTTGTGGAATCCACTTCCGAACACACGAGGAACAAGAAGGCGATTGGAAACAGCCAACAGTAAAGTTACTGTGACCTTTCTAGGGAGTGAGGTAATTTCTAATCTATCGCTATAACCCCAATTCATTTGTTTATGCCAAAAAACACATTTCCTTGTGGAATACAGTGAAAAGCAATTTCCCTATGAAGGAGGGAGTAGACTGAAACACACACATGCGCTTTGAGCGTCAGACATGGGTTCTGCTACTAGCCTACATATCACCCCATCCTGAGCTGTCTTGAACAGCCTGGGAAGTCTGAAGGGACTGAGGGTTTCCTCTACGTAGGCATCAGAGCACAGGAATCGGGCAGGGAAATCCAAGAGTCAGGGTTTAATCTCTGACATCGGGAGAATTCTCAACTCCTGCATTTTGTCAGATTTCCAGACCGTTTTTACTATTACCTGAGGCGTAATGTTAGCTGCCAGAAGAGCATCAATAAACCTTTCATAGTAGTTCAGTCCCGCTTCATTGACGTAGCTGGTGGTCCCATCCGGGAGAATGCGTGACCAGGAGATCGAAAAGCGATAGTGGGACACCTTGAGGCTCTTCAGCATTTCCACGTCCTCCTCAATCTTGTGGTAGCTGTCACAAGCTATGTCTCCGTTATCATCATTGCTGATTTTCAAGGGAGTGTGAGAATACTGGTCCCAAATGCTAAGTCCTTTCCCATCTGCTCTCCATGCTCCCTCAATCTTTAATTATAGATTGGGAGGAAAAAAAAATTGTTAGTAAACCCCAAACTTCAGAGTTGGCCTAGCAAATAATTCAGCCTTGTTAGTCTTAGTGGCACCACCACCCAGTATTTTGACTTACCCGTTTAAGATTAAAAACGGTAATGTTTTTGCTACACCAAAGCAGCAAGACCTCTTGGGCCTCAAAGCAGGATCACAGATATCAGCGATATCTGTTGTAAGTACAGTATCACAGAAACAGATATCGTTTCAATTCCGCTGCTGCTCAGTGCCAGCTGGCACTGGTGAAGCCAGTGCTGCTGTCCCAGGTCCCATGGCACAGCCATGCCCTTAAACATCCTCAAGTTCTGCACTTTTGTGGCGGTTGTTAGAGTACTCCTCCATTATGCTAACACCTGATGTTACAAAAGCTCTAGGTGTCTCATCCAAAATGAATCAGCTGTCCACCAGTACTTTAAGAGTCAGTTTTCGTCTCCTAACCTGATATGCTGCAGTTGCTACGCTCCAACAAAAGTTCTTTGGAAACTCCCCGTATAAAAATTCATCTTCTTTGGGCAACAGGATACCGTTATTGCGGATGATTTCTGAATAGTACACAGCAGAGCGCTTTGGGGTTCTTGGCCTGTTGGGATTATCAAAATCAACCTGGTGCAATCCAAACCTTGGATCATACCCATTCAACCATTCAAAGCTATCCATGAAAGACCAAGCGACGTATCCTCGCAGATTAACACCATCCAGCTTGTAAGCTGCAAGCATATATGTTAAGAGATGTTAGACCAAAACCGGTGGAAGAGCATCAGTACTGCATCACACATTAAGCGAACGGCAAGCAATTCACATGCAGACACGTACACACCTTCATAAAGCTGGCATTAGGTAACTAAAAGACAAATAGCCACAGAAAGGAGGGCATAAAAAGAAACTGTATCTTTGTATTGTGTTCAGAATATTTAAAGACCGATACCAATTGCTTATAAAAGCTACTCCTCAGTAGAAGAAATCAAGCAGAAGTTCAGAGGGGAGAGGCACAGATACAAAACACAACGACAGAATAAAAGCAAATACTGGTACCTTTTAGAGCTTCGTCAATGTACGTTTTGTAGTAAAATATCCTGGCATTGTCATCAACATCTGACTTGGTCTTTATCCCCACCCCGTTCTCAGTGACGTACATTGGGGGATTTCCATATTCCTCTTTGATCCAGTTCAGCAGCCTCCTCATCCCCCACGCCACAGCCCGAAGTCCAGCAACTGCTGAGGAAGGCCAGGAGCTGTCAACCTCTACTGACATTTCCTGGTCATACTCATAAGAGAAGGGCTTCAGTCGGGTTGTTGCGTGGGTTACAATTTTGGAGGTGTAGGTGTTGAAACAGAAAACGTCTGCCGTGCCCCTGATGTATTCACGCTCCTCAGCTGTGAAAACCGGTAGGCGGGACGATGGTAGGTTCTGGAGCTCGCTCCTGTTCCCAACTGTCCATTTCATGACGTCAGGATAGTCCCCATTTTTGAAGATCGGGTGTGCAAACCACCCCAACAAAAACTGCATGTACCTGTCTGCAGCTTCTATGTCCCTGGGGTCGCTTGGTGTCTTCGGCTCAGTCCACTCGACGTTAAGGCTCAGAGAAATGATCCCTCCCTGACTTGCTCTATATTTGCGATCATATGTGTGGTAGACCCTGGCGTGAGCTTTCAGTAGGGTGTGCGCAACCCTGTAGGGAGCGTTGCCAGGGTCATTGACGCCGGGTGGAAATTTCTCAGTGCCGTAGCCAACCCAGGCAACGACTTGGGGTTCATTGAATGTCAGCCAGAACTTCACCCTGTCCCCAAAGGTCTGGAAACAGAAGTCTGCAAAACTATCAAACAGTTCAATCAGTGCACTGTTCTCCCAGCCACCAATGTCCTGCAGAGCTTGTGGCAGGTCCCAGTGGTACAGTGTGACCATCGGAGTGATGTTGTTTGCAACCAGTCCATTAATGAGGCGGTTATAGTAGTCAACTCCATGGCTGTTTATTGAATTGTTCCTTCCGCTAGGGAAAATCCGAGGCCACGACAGAGAGAAACGGTAGCTCTTTACCCCCAAGGCTCTCAGCAGGTAAAGATCTTCCTCCACTTTGTTGTAGCTATCGCAAGCTATATCTCCAGTATCATTATTATTTATGTTCCCTGGGACATGGGTGAAAGTATCCCAAATGCTGGGTCCTTTGCCATCAGCATCCCAACCTCCTTCTATCTGGTAGGCAGAAGTAGACACACCCCACATAAAGCCCTCTGGGAAGGTGCCATAGAAGTACATATCCCTTTCAAACTTTGTTTGGGATGAAAACTTCTCCCAGACAACCTTTGCCTTTGAGGGAACTTCAGAGGCTGGTAAATTCGGCAGTCTCGATGACATGGGTAGCTCAAATGCCACCGGGGTAGAAAGTTTGTCCAAGACTTCGGATGGGAAACCATTCTTTTCAATAACACTGGAGTAGAAATAAGCAGATGCCTTAGGGGTCCTTGGTCTGTTGCTATCTTCAAAATTCACATAATGTAGCCCAAATTTTAGGCTGTACCCCATTGGGCCTTCAAAGCCATCAACCAGGGATCGAGTAATGTATGACTGAACATCAACTGTATCTAGTTTTACCGCTGTCACAGAAACAGTACAAGACCCTGTTAGTTATTTGAACGTTTTCTGAACGCAAGTACAAACACAACTGAGGGTAACAGCCAAGTAGCTAAATATCTACAAACGAGCTTTTAGGCACAAAACCAAAACAACTAAAGTATCTGACAAGAGCAGCAGTCAGTACTGTAATGGGAGCTCATTAAATGCTTAGTGACAAAAATGGATCAAAAAAGAAATATTAGTCAAGAGATATGTCAGTACAGGACTCTGCTGCCACTGGTATCTCATTCCCTATATTCTTGTTTTCAAGCACAATTGCTCAGTTTAAATATATGGATCACTTCTAGATTTACCACTGTAGTTAAACTGAAACATGTATATTTAGTGCTTGTCTATCTTCCCTGGGTACAGAAGACTTTCTTTTTGCAGGGCAACGTATCCAATACTAGCAGAGGCAAGTCCAGCTTCCTTCCTCACGTTGCCTACAAAAAAGGAAAGTACTAGATCTCTCATTCCAGAGGGTTCGTGTCCCAGATACGGTCTGTCTTCTGTACTTCTGCTCAGCCATAACTGCTATGCTGTTTTGTTTTCTGCAGCTCTTTTCACACAAATATCAGTACGTTGAGAACTAGCTCAAGAAGATCAAATGCTATTTACTGATCACCTCTTAGGAGAGGATGAGTAAAATCTGTATTTGTCGTTTCCTGACCTGCTTAGAACTGCAGTCATTAATATTATTTTTGTCAATACATACATAAGTTGACAAGGTACAGGCGTACCTTGAATCTCTTGCTCAAAATCGAGATATAAATATCTCCCTATAAATTCTAGACTGAAACGGTATAGGATGCTGTCAGTTAGATCCACTTAATCAACGAAGACATAGTTCCATCCTAATCTATAAGACCTGTACAGGTAAAAACTTGCCAGCAGTCAAATTATCTTCAGGGAAGCTGAAGTATATAAACAGTCATCCCATAGAGAAACTGACCTCAGGGTCCAGCCCTATTTATCTGCATATATGAAAATCCTATTCCCATATCTAAATAGAATGGAAAATCCCACATCTGGGCACCAGATAGCCTCGAGTTTATAAGGTCACACTGCTGGCTTCAGTGAGGCAGCTGACTTCACATCACTACACAAATGGTGATATTTTAAAGCTAACCTTGGTGGAAGCAAAAAAAAACCAAACAAACAAACACACACACACACACTAGTTGCCATCATGAAAACAAAATAAAACAAAAAACAAAACGACTACCCCTTCCCTCCCCTGTTCTCCATACCTTTTAGAGCCTCATTGATGTACCGGCGGAAATAGTCCACTCGCAGAGTGTCATTAATAACATCCCCTCCGTCCTGCGTTGGCATACCGTTTCCTGCTATGTAAATCGGGATCTTCGTCCCTGTGTACTCCTGCGACACAAACTTCAGCAGCCTTCTTAATCCCCAAGGGACCACATGGATCCAAGGGGAGGCAGTCTGTGGCCACGAAGGATCTACATGCAGGGAGAAGTTCCCAATGCTCTCGTAGCCTGGAGTGCAGGTGCTGTTAGTCACGGCACTAACCAGGCGGGAAGTGTAATGAGAAAGACCAAAGAAGTCTGCAGTCCCTTTCACCCAGGACTTCTCCTCCTCAGTAAACAGAGGCAGCTGGGCAACTGTCGCGGAGCACTGCTGGTTTACTTCCTGGATCTGAGCTTTCAGGATATCTGGGTAATCACCGTTAACAAATATAGGGTGAGCAAACCAGCCAAGCATGAACTGCAGGTACCTCTCAGATGCTCTCACATCCTCAGAGTTGGTTGGAGTCTGGGGTTCAGCCCAGTCTGAATTCAGCACCAGCCCTACCTTTCCCAGCTGCTGAGAACGGTATCTGTCATTATACAGGTGCCAGACCTTGGCATGAGCCTTGAGAATCGTGTGAGCCACCTGGGGGCAGAAAGCAGAGGAAGTGCATCACATAGCTTTGCACAAGAACTCCTAGAACTCGAGATTATTGCTGTGCGAGAACGACGCCTCCTTCTGAAACAAGAAACCCTGACAAAACAAATAATCACGACCAGAGAGTGCAGCAGAGAAACTGTTTTGAATTAAGGAGGGAAAGAACCTGGCTATCTGAGCTCCAGGGGTCAACACCAGCTTTTAGAAAGGAGAGATTAAAAAAAGATGTCCAGCATCCATTAACTACCCCATTTTCTTTCAAATATCCCAAATTCAACAAGCAAATAATTGTCTCAGAGGCCACATGAAGCTCTAACACAGCTAAAGTACAGAACTGGCAAAGGAGAACAACACAACAGCAGCAGCTGTGAGATCCTAACTATTGCTATGTCCTTACCTTGTAAGATGCTACTCCAGGGTCAGTAATTCCTGGGGGATGCTCTCCGGTGCCATAGCCAGCATAGCTGATAACCCAAGGCTCATGAAAAGTAATCCAGAACTTGACCCGATCCCCAAAGGTTGCAAAGCAGAAATCTGCATAGTTTGCAAAAGCTTCTATGATGCTTTCGTTCTGCCAGCCACCGAGAACCTGCAGAGCTTGCGGGAGGTCCCAGTGGAACAGAGTCACCATGGGCTCAATGTTAGAGTCTAGCAAGCTGTTAATTAATTGGTTATAATAATCCACACCCTTGGAGCTGATGCTCTCATTGGTGCCAGCAGGGAAAATTCTGGGCCAGGATACAGAAAATTTATATAGTTGGGGCTGAAGAGCCCTGAGCAGATAAACATCATAGCTGGTTTTATAGTAGCTGTCACATGCCACATCTGTTGTTTGATTCATGTAGACATGGCCTTCATGCCCAAACTGATCCCAAATGCTCTCTCCTTTCCCATCCTCTGCCCAAGCTCCTTCAATGTTAAAGGCACCTGTGGATGTGCCCCAGAGGAAACCACTTGGGAAAACATCCTGCAGAAAAGAATCCCTCTCCAGTTCAGACTGGTTAGCAAACATTTCCCAGACGGTTTGATAGGAGGAGCCGGGGGCAAGAACAGCAACTGGCTTCTCCTGTAGAGTATTTGTTATGCTGGAAGCAGAAGAATAAAAAGATATTACAGTCTCCAAGGAGGATAAAAGGATTATTTGCTTTCCATTCAGCTCACACATGCCATGCAGGGTATAGTTCCTCTTTCATCTGATCAATCCAACTTACTGCCATTCAGCTGGCAGATAAAGCGGACGTGCAACGAGCTAACCACAGAGCTGCTCAAGAGCGCTGTATCTAAAGCGTTTCTTTGCAGGTAGACTCGCATAATTCACTATACCTAGGTGAAAGATGCAAACAAAATCCTCGCAGCATGTGGTAATTTCACATGCTTCAACTACCGCAGGGGTTTTTAGATAAACTAAAACCAAGCAACACTGCTTATGTAATCCTTAACCTCCCCTTGCACAGTGATACGTATCTGTAGGCCTGATTATCTTTTGACCTAGAAAAGGCACCACTTTTTTTTTTTTTTTTAAACGCTATTTTACTCTTGAAAAGCAAAAGGCTTGGAGAACTACCTTTTACTAGAGACTTAAAGGTGCAATCTGGGTGACCCAGAGGTGCGGTGAGAGAGGATTACATGACATATTTACCCGTAATAGCAAGAGACTAGACTCAGCAGAAAGGCACTCCTTTCCAGGTCTTTCAGCAACTAGCAGCAGACTTTTCCACTAAACATGTCTTATGTCCGTCTAGCATATTTGTTTCTAGAGGATACCACTTTCCTATAGTATCTGATTTAAGGGAGGAAAACTGTACCTTAAAACATGATTTGATGAGAAGTCCAAGAATTCATTAACATCATACCCAATCGTACGTGCCTTTTCTTTATTAATGGCTGAAAAAAAAACCAAACAAACAAGAAGCGATGGACTTGGTCACAACTTAGATCCCACAGATTGCACGACACTAGATAAGCATGCAACTACACCTTTTGAAACAAAGTACTTTGCATAAATCACGGCTATTTTTCTCAGGCCCAATACATTGGGTTTTTATTCTGTATTTGCAATTTCTTATTAAAAAAAGAAAAAAAAAAGATAAGATTGGGGAGGAGGGGATTTCCTGCTTCCCTGTCCTCTACATTCACCATCTGCCTTCAATTTTCCAAAGTTATAAAGAAACCATATAATTATTTCAACAAATAGGAAGTGTCTGGCCTGGACAACTTTGAACTCCCTCCGTAATTTCCCATTCAGTGCCTAGCTACAAAACCTCCTCCCTCTTGAAACACTTCACTCACCTGTGACAATAGAAGCCACTGGTATGAATGGATTCTCTTCCATGGAACTACAATCAAGGAATTTCAGACTAAAAAGCAAAATCTCCGTGTCCTTCCAGATATTCTACAAAAACCAAAGTCAAACAGAGTTGTATGGAAATAAATACAGGCCAGCTAGTGAAACCATGCTCTTGGCATTTGTTGCTTTTAACAGAGAATATGAAACATCTACAAGACCGAGCATCAAGGATAAAGTTTTTCAGAGCTAAATTCATAAATCAAAGCAAGCATTAAATACCGCCAATTACTTTTCTTTGACCCCTCCAAAACCCCCATGCAAATCAAAGCATACACCCCAGAAGCTTTTGGTGTTTGACTTTTCATTGAGAAGGCACAGGGAAGCACGTTCTTTTCAGAACGCTTACTTGGTAAGAATCCATTGCCATAAATGTTTGGCCCACTTCAGATTTTTGGAGTAATTACACCATGCTGGGACCTTAAAGAGAAGAAGTCTACTGGGTGGCTCCTTGCCACGCAGTTGCTGGGTGACTCTCGCTTCACACTTTTTAAGAATGCAACTCACTACCAGAGGTTTTACTATCAGCTGCTAGCCTATAACATCACTGACATCGTCGCTGCCACGTGATGCAATCCTTCTTCAAACTCGTCCTCATTAACATTTCTAGCACTGACTCTACCGTTGAGGAGAGGTTGAGGAGTTGAAACGTTTGGAAGTACAGCTGCAGAACCAACTCTAGAATAAAATGGTATCTTTTTTTATGTAAGGCTACTAGCCTAACAGCTTATCAAACACTTAGGATGTGAGACAGAGCAATTGTCAGTCCTGGACAAAAGAATTAGCCATTCCAGCTACTTAGTGAATCAGTGAGCACTGACCAAATTGATCGTTTCCAGAGCTTTCAGACACCTGTTTTTAAGTCAAAATAACAGTGAGCAGCATGCAGCTGTTTCCTAGCTGCTGTATGAAATCAGAACTGTGTAGAAACGCATCAAGGAACATGGAGTTCCCCTTCTATTTATGGTCTGTTTTCCACCTCTGCAATTCTATCACAATCTTAAGCATTTTAAATATTTTTAAGGCTCTTCCAAGGATGACATGTAGAGAGTTTCCGCTTCTTGTTCTTCATTTGTGGCCTGGTAATCGCTCTTCTGTTTATAGGGAATAACTATCTTGCTACTGATACACAGAACAGAGAGAGTTAACTAAAAGCCTTGCATATTCTCTTCTGGCTGCTCTTCACTTTGCTATATGACCCTGACCATGGCATACAATCTCTGTGCTCTTCTCTGCAGAAGCATGGGTCACGCAGGCCTAGGTTCTGGAGGATCTGAGAGAGCAAATTAGGAATTTCCTTGAACTCATAACGTGAGAATTGCTATAGTGGAACTTCATTGCAAAGAAAGTTGTTACAGATGTTTTCTGAAGTACAACAGACTTACAAGGGTGATGATGGATTTGCCCCATCTGCTCTGCTACTAATATTTCATCTCAGGAATATATTGATCTACTCTACTCCTTTGGGAGCGCTTGAAATGGAACATCTAGATGTGTGCATCTTTAACATACATAGTATACTAAAACACATTATTGAGGTTTTCCAGAAAAAAAGAAAGTAACTTAAAAATATTAAAGATATGATCTTGCCCTCAGCTAGAGGGGTGAAAATACCAGAAGTATTTGGAGCTGGATAAACTGAAAGCAAATTTGAACTTCATCAGTCTAAAGCAATATAAAAATTCAGGAAATGCAATGTTCATTTTAACATTGTACATAAAATTACCTGGAATTCACCCAATTTCACATAGAAATCTGCTTCACTTCCACAATTGTAATGGAGGTTGAGAGACAGAAAGTCTAATGAATCCTGGAAACAGCAAAATAAAAAAATTATCCTGGAGAAAAACATATATGTTTTTAACATAATACCTGCAAAAAATAAAATAGCTGACAAGGTTGATATAAATATGTTGTTCGAATAAGAAGTCATACAGCTATAATGGAGGCCTGCACAATATAACAGGTACTAACTGGATAGCATGTGAGAAGTTTTTTTTTTTTGGTCTCTTTTTCTGAACCACAATGAAAAATCTTAGAAGCATTAGAGTTGAATTGAATTATAAGAGTACTTTAATATTCGCTATTTACAACCGCATCTTAAATTAGTAAGACTGAAGGAGTCTATGTTTAATCAGGTGGAGAAACCTTGGCAACTAATGAAGTGGTTCAGGAAGGCCTTATCAATAAACTTTTGGGGAAAGTCCGCTTCAGATATCTTCGATCATTCCAAACTACAAGTGTTATCCCATTTAAGTCAGCAAGGTTCAACAGCATAGGCAGTATTCTTTTATTAAACCAGCTAATAAAGTTGGAAAAAAAAAAAAAAACAGTAAGCTTTCAGTAATGTTTTCAGTATGCAATTTTTGTTCTAGTTTAGTCAGCTCATCTAATAAAAGATCCTTCCCCTCCTTACAAACCATGCCTTGCTTATGTCCTTAAAATTTCATGTCTGCAACATTACTTACTATTAAATTTTAAAAGATTGTGAATGCAAGTCCAAAACCTGCACTGCATCCCACATCAGCATCCTCTGCATGAACAAACTAGTAATGGAAGGTCTGGTCCTTACAGAAAGGATGTCATCATCTTTGTAGAGATTAGATTCTCCTCGTGCTGTGCTGTCCCTGTACACCTAGACCACCTAAAGCTCAGGAAGTGCTTTAACAGAACAGATTTAGTGGATTTTTAAAAATAATGGTTATTTAAAATATTTTTTTTATTTCACGGTGCATTTAGTTGACTTGCACAGAAGATAAAAATGGATACATTTTTTGCAGACACCTTGTCAGGTAAGCACGTGTATTGCTACAACTGCCAATTATGAGAGGAAGTATGTCTCTATATACTTTAACCAATACTTACTAGCCAAAAAAAGGATGATCAAGTAGTTTTTTAAAATCAGTGAGCTTCACACAATCAAACTAATCAAATAAATAAAACGGACCAATAGATAAACTTTATTTAAGTTGCAATAGCTTGCTTGATCCTGTACATAAAAGTGTTAACCTGATGAAATTATTCCCTTTTGGAAGTCGTTTCTATCAAGGTGTTACCTGCAGAGAAACTGACAGCAGTTCTGATGAAGTGCTATCCAAGATGTGATCCATTCCTAAAGCAATGGACAGTTTTCCATCTTGAAAGAAAAGAGGCAGCCTATTAGTGCATTCAGAAGGGCAAATGAAAGACTACAGTTCATTGTAACTATTTTAAAATCAGTTGGAAATTTTTGAAGACGTTGATCATTAGAGACAGTGCCCCGAGTATCTGATTAGAGATTACCCGCTGTGATTTTTATATGAGCGGTAACGATAACGCTGTTGCTTGGAAGAAGGAGGATCTGAATGCAACTGTCCAGTGGGGTCCCTTCCACTCTATGCTTATAAGCAAGATCTTTAATTTTCATGACTTCGGCAGTTCCTCTATGGTGGTTTAATTTTTTTCAAGTTAATGCTGAGCCGGATGATTTTTAAGAAAAGCATACAAAACTGCAAAATGTTATATATTTTTTCTCAGCTGTTTGGCTATCATTCCAAGTAACATGCAATTACCAGTAAGTTATAAACAATTATCAAAATGATGGATTTGAAGGAACCTGCTACTCAAATATTTCTATGCAACTCCAAGACCAGAGATTCACACATATTCACACACAGAGACTGCATGTAGCAGTTGCCATTTAATCCCATCGCAAATTATTTGTGAAAAGGTCGTACAGACAAGTCCCTCCCCGGTTCCCTTTACCTGCTGGCGAGTATTTCTCATGGTAGACTTGATAAGCTCTGTCATGAGCGTCAGCTAGGGCCTGCACGCGGGACTGGTGGTCGTCGTAAGGCAGGCTCTTCAGGACCTCCGGCACGGCGCTGAAGGTGAGCCAGAAGATTCCCAGACTCTATCAACTCGCGGCAGCCAGGGTCTCGAGCAGCTCCCGGTACCACCGCACTCGGGCTTCATCCGGCCTCCTAGCGTCCCCCTCCGGAAGGATGCACGCCCATGGCAGGAAGATTTTGTAGTGCGTCACCCCGGCTTCACGAAGGTGGGAGAGATGCAGGGGCAGCTCAGAAGGCACAGGATCTTGTTGGCACAGGTACTCCTGGGCCTCGCTCCCACCAGGGTCCTGAGCTTCTTTGGGTAGGACTTGGTTCTGCGGATGCAAACTATTTACTAGCTCCCTGGGTAGTGGTCCAGCAATGGCAATAAAATTCTGAGCTAATCCTCTGTCTAGCCCAAAGCTGGGAGAGGCTAACAGGAAAAAAGAAAAGACTGTCTTATATACCAGCTCCATCTCTGCACCTCCTTCAGAATTATTTCATATTATTTATACTATAGCAGAAATAATATTTAACTGAAATTATCTATTGCACAGATAAATGTTCCCAGAACTAACTGGCACTAGAATGATAACCTATCAGGACTTTCAATAGATAGATAAGCAGACCGACCGAGCCAAAAAACACCAAACAACTAGTTGGAGAAAGGTCATGTGGAAACACCGGATTAACATTTTCTGAGATGCTCAGGTTCCCCTTTACACTTGAACATAAATGGACATCTGCTAATACTGCCTGTATTTCAGAGGAAGATAAAACAAAAAGCAGATAATACTTTTCATCTCCTCCTCTTGGCTTTTTTTGCCTTAAGAGGAATCCCAGCATGCCAAAAAAAAAAAAAAAAAAAAAAAAAAACAGGAGCAGAGCTACCTTCGCTGCAAGGGCTGGGAGCCTCCAGGGCTCAGGGTGGGCAGCACAGGAAGGAGGTGTGCTTGTGCTACGATACTTGGGCACATAAAGGAAATGCGTGACGTGGCATCTTACCTATTTGGAAGGAAAAGTGGTTGTTATGTGAATTCAGGCAGCAGCAGCAACGTGCGTGTTTTGTGGAGCTAACCCCAGACCTGATAACATCAGGGAGTCCAAATGCTATAATTTATTGCTTTCCAAAGTACTCCTTCCTCTAGCCTTGAGAACGCATGCTCTCTCAAGTAGAGTGAATACACAGAGCACCTGAACTGCAGTGAGGAGGAGAAAACCCTACCTTGCTACATTCAAATACAGCAGAATTGGAGAGCTGAGAGCATTTGCCTGAACCTGCTCTCTGCGTTGCCTTAACGTACAGCATGTTTAAATCAACTATTTCTTTGAACAACCAGTTCTTGTCTGAAACACAGCTGGAAGCAGCTAGTTAATTTACTGCTCTGTCAAACATCATCTTTATTATTTATGTTACAGTAGAAACTGCCACTGAACACTTGCTCTTTTTTCAGGAGAGCCCACATTTCATCGTTTTGCTTACGCAGGGATTGCGATTTGTGCACTTTTACATTCCGTTCCATCCGATTCCAAGATGACTTTTTTTTTTTTTTTTTAAAGGGAGCCTTAAAAACCTTGTTGAAATATTGTGCTTGCTGTTCTGAGCGCCTGGCTAAGAACTTTTTTTTTTTTCTGATGGATGCAATAAGTGCTTAAATAGAAAATTCCTGCCCCCCCTGCCTCTTTCCCCCTTCCCCCCCCCCCCCCGACTAGAGCAGTGTTAACTCCAGAAAGAACGCCCCTCCTACCCAAAGACGCATATAGTACTGGTGGGAAAGACAAAGTAGAAAAATTATTTCTTTTCCCACGTGAAAAACGTTTATTATCAAAGACTGAGGGGACAGAGACCCACACATAATGAAGTACAAACATCTCCTCAGTCTCCAAGAAGCCTTTTAAAGCTCAAAAGAGGATGGATCTGACAGATCTGACAGCAGAAAGAGTAGTATAAATAACCTGCAAATATTACTTAGCTAGACAACAATATAGCCTCTATATGCTTTAATTAATGCTAACCAAGGAGGCCAATTTACTCACCAGCTAAAATTAGTTCAGGTTCATGGGATTAATCTATTAAAGTAAATCAGCACTCAGTTCAGTTAGATTGAGTTCAAACTGCAATAAGAAGTTACTTACACCTGTAAATAAAGAAAATAAATTACTAATCAAACGCAAGTTAACGAAAGGAATTCCAAAAAAACATACGCAAGGATCACCTTAAGTGCAGCTGAAAAAACTTCTGATCAAACACTCTCAGAGATGTCATCCAGGCCTAAGATCACAAACAGTTCTCCACGTGAAAGGCAGGCTGCTAACTGGACACGTGGAGAGAAGGAAGTACATCATTCCCAGCCTTACCAACACAGCTGTCTAAGCAGATGCAGGATGTTGTGCTGGAAAACAGAACAAAGCAGTAATCCCGAGGGGTATATAAGACGTTACATGTTAATAAAAACAAAAAGAGAGAGAGAGAGAAGCATGTTCCCCCTAATAAGCACATTCGGGAGAGTATGGTGTTCCCTTGAAATGATAGCACTAGTCTGAAATGCTACTAAAGCTCAGATTGGAGCTGGTTATTACCTAACGCAGCATACTTTGAAGCGGAGATAGAGTCAGTGATCACAAACACAACTCGGACACTTCTGTATCAGCTCAAGTTTTGTTTTCATTTGATATCAAACTAAACCATTAACAAATCCCTAGGGCTTTAAGGCATGAGGTATGGCTTTACGATAACACTTAAACAGCCCTCAATGCCGTTTTAATGTGCTAAAAAGGAACAGAAAAGGAAAAAAGCCCTATTAAAATATAGGATCTCTGATAAATTTGGCTGCTTTTATGGTCTAGCTAAAAAGGTCAGTTTTCAAATAAGATACGCTGATTGTTTTTTTTAGAATGCATAAAATCAGATAAACTGGAAATTCAGGTATTTACACAGGCATTTTTTCCCGTGCTGGCCAAATACAAATGTAAACTCTTCCTCCTAGTAAACGATAATTTAATCCCATCGCAAATTATTTGTGAAAAGGTCGTACAGACAAGTCCCTCCCCGGTTCCCTTTACCTGCTGGCGAGTATTTCTCATGGTAGACTTGATAAGCTCTGTCATGAGCGTCAGCTAGGGCCTGCACGCGGGACTGGTGGTCGTCGTAAGGCAGGCTCTTCAGGACCTCCGGCACGCCAATGCGAACCCCCCACTGGCCGGAGGCTCGCGGCAGCCAGGGTCTCGAGCAGCTCCCGGTACCACCGCACTCGGGCTTCATCCGGCCTCCTAGCGTCCCCCTCCGGAAGGATGCACGCCCATGGCAGGAAGATTTTGTAGTGCGTCACCCCGGCTTCACGAAGGTGGGAGAGATGCAGGGGCAGCTCAGAAGGCACAGGATCTTGTTGGCACAGGTACTCCTGGGCCTCGCTCCCACCAGGGTCCTGAGCTTCTTTGGGTAGGACTTGGTTCTGCGGATGCAAACTATTTACTAGCTCCCTGGGTAGTGGTCCAGCAATGGCAATAAAATTCTGAGCTAATCCTCTGTCTAGCCCAAAGCTGGGAGAGGCTAACAGGAAAAAAGAAAAGACTGTCTTATATACCAGCTCCATCTCTGCACCTCCTTCAGAAACAGTTATTTCATACTATTTGCACTTAAAGTAAATAGTCTTGGTATATTTCACATGCTTAAAAATGTTTCTTAGGTACTAGTATCAGGTTGATAAAAAGAAAAAAAAAAAACATTCACGTATTTTAATTCTTAATAGATTATTTAATAACCACATAGCATAAGAGCACATAATTGAGATCAATAGAAATTTAAATAAAATATTTTCTTCTAAATAAAGACTAAGAACAAGTTTGCAAATACACTCAAAAAGCCCTTCACAAATCATGCCACCTTTCACTTCACTTACGAGTCAAGGCATTCACTAAAGATAGGGGGTTTTGCCCTCCTGGATTAAAACTTTGCTTTGGCCTTGGCTATTTTGAATGTTCTATTTTAAAAGTGCACCAGGAGCGTGTACAAAAAGTCCATCCAAGAACAGAGAGATACAATCAGATGCTGTCACTATCCCTTAGAAGTTTAAAAGTTTTCCTAAAAACCAGCATCAGTCATCTAGAAGGTTAAGTATTTCTTAAAACACTATGTATTCAGATCACTAATTTTTCAGCATCAAAGCACACGCAATGAAAACAGCAACCCCACATACCAGTGACAACAAAGCCACCCCCAGACATCTACAGACATGTAATGATCTTTTATTTATAAGAAAAACAGTGAAAATCTATAGCATAACAAGTTTACTAAATACAATAGAAGAATAATGCAAAATTCCTCTCATTTAAAACAGAAGCATGTACACAGCTTGATGCTGAAAAGAGCTATTGGATGACTTTCCTCTGCATCTGGACAATGGCAGTGAAACCCAGAACGAGTAACGAACCAATACGTTAACGTGTCATTTGTTTAAAAACATCCCAAGTACGTTCAGTGTATATGTTCAGTCATGTATTACTAACCGCGTGTTGGTCCATTCGACAGTCAAGCATTCATATAAATTGAAGATGTTAGCTATATAGGAACTATTGTAAGAATTCAGAGAGAATGCATTTTCCAACACATAACTAGTCAGGTCCATAATCCAGTTCTCAGCCCTTAGTCTTCCAGCAGGTAGTTAGGGTTGACAACCAGGTATGGGTCTTCATCGAAAGTCTCCTCTTCTCTGGAGCCTCTCAGGCCCGACTGGGACAGTTCTATAAGAATGTGATCCTGCAACAGACAAAAATCTGCATTCAGACAAAAAGAGAAAACAACTGTACTTTTTGAAAGCCATCTCGTTTTTCCTACTGGTAGCACCTCCTATTGATGAATTATTTAGCCCTTTTAACTGTGAGCTCCCTTTTTAATAAGTTCCTAATCTTAGCAATTATCTTCAGTGGAAATCTCTTATACCTAATACACTTTCTGGGAACATCTCAGTCCAGCTGATCTGCACCTTTAAAACAAAGGGTATTTTGCCCATTTTATATCTTGATATTTTTTCCTCCAAACAGCCCCAGTATCCCAAGCTTTGAATCCAAAATCTGAAATCAGTAACTTCTGTGGCTGTAAACACTGTGATCTCGGGAAATAATCATTTTTACCTCAGAGAAGCATTTTAAATAAGGCACAATAAATAAGGCTTAAAGCTAATCACTGAATTTGTGTTTCTGTGCGTTTCTGTGTCCTAATATAGGACTAATGCTACAGAAGTACAGAAAAACACTACTTATACTTCTCCAGGGACACAATACAGTACTCAACTACTCAACTTTTTTTTTTTTTTTGATTCTAACTTATTTCAGTGTTTTCTCTGTAGCTATTTTTAACAGAGATTTAAACAAATAAAGCATTTACACTGGAACACAGTGACATGGAAGCACAAGACATATTTCTCCAATTAGAAATATACTATACTAACAGTGAATCATAACTTAAAAACCCCTTTCAGTATCCACACATCTCTGTACATACATAATGTTTAAGTCGATGAATGACTCTCTCTATGATCTTCTTTTTGTTTATAAGCTCTTCTTCAGACTCTATTTCAGATTCAATTTCCTTTAGATACCAATTAATAAGTTCACTCTTCTTTAACGATGAATCGTCCTCTTCTGCAAATAAGATAGAAATCTAATGACACAATGCCAATTGACACAATCTGCATAAACGCAGCAGCATAATACACCAAACTGTTAGAGAAAAGGATTTCTATTTAACGTATACGCTGCTGGAAAGAGAAATACACAACAGCCTGTCAGCTTTTCTTCTTTTTCTTAAATCAAGATGTTTAGTATGGAAGGCTCTTGTATTGTAGTTTTATTGGAGACTAAATATTTAGATTCAAAATTGAGGCTTTTGATTCCACGCATTTATATGGCTCACTAACTAAACCAGCAGCCTAGCAAACACCTTGGCCTTCAGCTTCAAGAAGCAGCAGCTGTAAGGAGTGGTACCACTTTCCTCTAAGTAAAGGCAAAAGAAAGTCACAGCCACACAAAACTGAAGAAATCATCCTTCTACAAATACTCAGTATTTTGAATGGATACTGGTTTCCATAGTCATCCAAAAACTTTGTAGTATTGTTACATACTTTCAGATAGCTGCTGCTTTTCACCACAAGAGTAACCTTATTGCAACGGGAATATTTCATCTCCCCCAAGGAGGATGCAGCCACTTGGCGTTCAGTACATACCGGCTCAGGGTATACTTTGGGCTACGGTTGCTGGCATACATTAAAGCTCTTGCCACAACGTTTTCATTGCTGCTGACCGTTTTAGCTATGTTAAACCGGCATATGCTACAAACCCTTTTCCCTGCTCTGCAGCCATATTCCTTGGCTTGCTGGTCTATGACAAATGACTAAGATGTCAGAGCTAAAAAGTCTGTAAAGATGTATTCACAGCAGCAGATGTCATACATCCACATGTGCACGGGGTCACAGTTGACCTAACAAGCCTGGTGTCTCAGCAGGAGCAAAAGTCTCAAGTGTAGTAGCATGAAATGCAGTACCACTGGCTTCCTGAACTAATGGAGCTACCTGTGCTGAATCTTGGCACAGTGGGATTAGTTCACTCAGAGCAGCAGGCGTGTGAACCCCTGCAGAGGTTAAGGTTGCTCTCTTAACATGTCTCAAGTACCTCAAGGTACGAAAGAGCAAAGACTCTACTTACACAGTGATGTTTATCAAGTTCCACTGAAAGCTGCATAGGAAGAAGTGGCAACTCCTGCTCAAAGATCCATAGCAATCACTTCTACCCTAACTTTTTAAAACACAAGACAAGCACAAGCCATTTTTCTCTAAAGTGACTGGAAGACTAAAGGTTTCTTCAGAGCTAAGAAACTCCGTGAGTTTTAGATGAAACTAATTCAGAAAAGAGCTGATCCACACACGATGACACAACTCAAAGCGTGTCATCTTTTTAATAAACAAATTCTTACCTTCCTCTGCTTTCCTGAGGTGCAGCACAAGGAGATTAGAAATCCGTCGATACTCAGAGAAGCCCAGTCTAAGAGAAGCTTTGGGTACAGCATCCTTGCTCACGTCCTCAGGATGGCCATTGATCCCATTCACAAGACCAGTGACCCCAGCTGGAGCTTCTGCCTCACCTGTTTGAACACATGCCCAGGTTTAACTCCGCAATGTGTCTTAACTGTATAATACTCTCTGTGAGTCATAGGAACATCTTGACTTGTCCAACAAAGTGAGTGAAGCCCACAAGGGAAAAGTAAGGGAAAAAGTAGGAGAGTTAAGAACAGGAGTAAAGATCCTAGATTCTTAGTCCCGCCATTACTGGTTAGAGAGATACAGAGAGAGGAGAAAAAGGTGAGAAATGAAGAGAAGTATATACTCAAACAGCGTAAGCTATAAAGGGCTGGAAGTCTTTTTCGCCTTTCAAAAGCTCTCTACCATTGACTCCATCTTGGTCCTCTTGATCCTCCATTTGCTGTTCTTCGTCTTGGTCTAAATTGATGTCAGGAGTCTCAACTCTAATGATAGATTTATTTAAAAGCCTGAAAGCTTCCTTCACATGTTTTGGATGAACCTGGGAAAGATTTGAAAAAACATGCATTAAATATGCATGGTGGCTGTTCTATTATTAAAGGTTGTTTCCCTGCTAGCTCCAGAAACTCACCCCCAGAGTCTGATAAACTGGCTTTCTACCCATCTCACCCAATTAAGCATAAGCTGTGAAGTCTCTGCAAGCCAAATTATATCCTGCTACAGGTGTGACTTTGCATTCACACAAGATTATGGAGGGAATATGAACCTTTCAGGCCTTAACTATCATGAAGAGTTGACAATATTTTTACTTAAGCAAGACCATCTTGAAGAAGGATCAGTGGGGTAAGAAATATGGAAAAGAATGGGTCTGAATAGAAATAAAATGTGAAAAAAAGTTCGCAATTAGTCTCCTCTGGATTTGAAAAGAAAAAATTAGAAAAGTCTCCTGTAGTTGAGCCATAAGCGAAAAGCTGTCTGTTTCCTTATAAGCTAAACTTAATTAAAATGAACCCAGTGGGTGTCCTTCTCACATATCCAGCGAGCAGTTTAGCATCACTGCATATGTCATTTGAGACCCCTAACCAACACTTAAAAAAACCTGCTGTGTTTTAAAGCAGGGACTAGATGGATAATGGTCAAACTACGTTTTCCAGCTATAACACAACTTACATCTCAACACTGGTTGATGTGAGGAGGAGCTCAGATCACAAACACGTGCTTGACGCTATCCCCTTGTGTTCTCTCTCAAGGAAGTTCAGTTTCCTTGATGGACTTTGGCTTTTTACATTACAGAGGAAAAAGAGCCACGCATGATTACAAACTATGTGAGATTAGGAGAGACACTGCCAGCAGCCCTGGCCGATAGTAATACAGAAGATTGCTCCTCCTATCTTGTATAATTTGACTGGCTGAGAGTGCTGACACATCTATCATGCAAAAACATGCATGTTCTCAGTTTAGACCAACTGACCTCACTTTTGACAGGACACAGCTTAAAAGCAAGCGTCTCTGGCATATAAATTCAGACCGACTATGATTGGTTTCAAAAGTGAAAACATCCAAGTTCTCCTGCTCACCCATAGGATTTAAATACGCACAATACCACAGTCAATTAACTCCCACAGCGTTAATATAGACTTAATACCTCATCACAGCAGTGCATACGGGCCATAGCTTCAGACAGTCGAATCATGCTTTCCAGCTGTCGCACTGTGATTCTCCAGGATGACTTTGTCACTCCAGAACCATCACGCTGACGCAGTCGTTTATACTGCTCCACTATAAAGTCCTCGGATTCCTTAGATATCTGTTTGACATAAGACGGTATAACAACTTGCCATGTTAAAAACATTAAGTTCATGCTTCTCCTGTGAGATCAGTGGTTCCCAGACTTTTCTATACTAGCTACTGGTTTTAGTCTACTGTCCCACATGCTACACATAATAAAAACTATTTTACAATAATATTACAGCTCTATTGTAATAACAATGACATTGTAATAAACATAATAGCATTAACACACCAATTATTTCACAAAAGATTTCTGATCATTTGAATTTTCTGTTCCACCCACTTGCTTCCAGGCATAACTCACTGCTCATCTCTACTAGATTGTTCTACATTTATTCACCCTCCATTCATTTCAAGAACACACACAAGGACGCACACTCAACATACACTGTCCACAGCTTTGCGTACACACTTTGTAACCCAAGCCTATCTGCACACGCACAGATCCAGCTGGCAAAAACCACTCATCCCCACGCGGAAATGAAATGGGAGTTTGCAAAACTCTTGCAAAGCAGTATATTCTACTTTCCAGACTGAAAATCAGAGGAGGCCATATACTGACTAGCCCTGACAGCCTCTGTCCTCTCACTACAGCTGGACAGATATGGAATTATTCTAGGGATTCCTTTGGCCTTCTCTGGGATACAGACTGTTCTATGTAAGGGAGGGTAAGGGAGGGTGTCCTCTCTCCTGTCATTTGAGAAGCGCTACATTAGAAGAACTTCGGAAAGATCTGATACCACCCATGCAAGCTGCAATTTGGACACACCACAAAAATCTGTGCTGAGAGCAGTTTCCCATATTCTGCATTTTACCACAAAGAAGGCAAAGAAATACTGAGGAACAACATCCTTTTAAAACAAAGACAAACCAGCTATTAAGCAATATGTCAATAAAATACAAAAATCTCTATGGCAGCTACATTAAATACCCCATGACCTTGAGATAAGAGAGCGCTACGACACCACCTGTCAGTTACGATACACAGAGGTTAAAAACTGCCACTGAAGCAATTAACATTGCTAATTATAAAACAGTCTCAGCTGGGCTCACTGGGTCTCCAGAGTTCAGAAGACTACATGGCTCCAAAATATACTGTGTTGCTAGATAATAACCGAGATCACTGCTGCCTTCTAGTGAGAAACCTCAGTAAGTGTCTTTGCATTTGCCTAAAAAAAGCAAGCTGGACAATGACTAGTCCTTTGGACTTTTTCATGCAGTATACTGTATTAATAGATGACAAATAGAATTACCTTTGGTTTAAACTGTCTTGCAAACAGCAGATACCTTCTGATATCATCTAATGAATAGACCCGATCAACAGATTCTTCTATTCTGGAATGCAGATCCACTATGCGTCTGGCAATGGCATAATCTGTAACCTGGGATATTATTGCTCTATTAGATCACTTTCACAACACCAGCCACATAACAAAACAATAGTTATAGTCTTCCTTCCCATCCCGCTCCCTTACCTGCACTCTTCATGGCAGAGCTAGCTTTCCCAGAAGCAAGATTCTCTGCCAGAAGAACCAGGAGAATGTCCTGGAGTGTTTTTAATAAAAGGAAAAACACCAGAGAAGGGACGAAAGGCAGTTTCAACTCTCCTGGGTTATAAGATAGCCAAAGAAACAGCAGAAAGCAACACTTTACAGGGTGGGAACTGTTTTCTCTCTTTTCAGCCTACTTTGTCTCTTTCAATAGTCCCTTTTCAATTAGATCATCACTCTCAGCAAAAGAGTGAAGAGAAAAGTACTGAACCAACATTAATCTCAGTATCTCCTGTGTTCCTAAGGCCAACACCACACAGACTGGTGGTAGCGATCTTAACTTTAGTAACTAGCCCTTTAAAAATTGACTGACGGTGTTAAGTTTGCTAAATCACTACAAGATGAAAGGGCAACATCTTTGTATTCAGCAGAGAATTTTCAAATGTGTACTGCCAGCTCATAGCTTTCTAGACAGAGAAGAAAGGTACAAGGAGCAGGCAGGCTCTCAGGAGATCGATTTCACCTAAAATTGCCCAGCGGTGGCTGACAGAGATGGTCATGGGACAGGAGCACGTGATGTATGAGCACCAGCTGAGAGAGCTGGGTCTCTTCAGCCATAAGAGAAATCACCTGCCTAATTGGAGGGTACAGAGGTGACGGACTCCAAACTGTTCCTGGAAGTACTGACCGACAAAACAAGAGGCAAAGGATGTAAATTGGACCACGAGGAACTCTCATCAGCTATAAATTATTTTTTTTTCCCCAAATATATTAGAGTTGCCAAACATCGGAGCAAGGGCCCAGAGAGGTGGCAGAATCTCCATCCTTGGAGAAAAAAATCAAAACTCATCAGGTCAAGGCCCTGCCAACTTATTATTAGTGGTCTCCTTTGAGCTTGGGGTTGGACTAGAGACCTCCAGAAATCGTTTCTGATGTAAATTACTCTACAGTTCCTTAAAATTACCTCATTACATTCATCCACAAGAATGAAGAAGAGATCAAACCGAGACATGATGGGAGCTGACAGGTTTATATTCTGTTTCAGTGACTTGGATCTGTCATAACGCCCACCAACTGGGTTTGCTGCAGCCAAAATGGAGGTCCTGGCATTCAGGGTAGCCTGACAATGGAAAAAAGGAGAAGAAAAAAAAAAAAGGTGACCACTCGCTAAAGGAATCAACTCACTGCAATTCCAGTGGGTCAGCATAGCATCAGTAAGCTACCCTGTAACATCTCCACAAGGTTACCCGTCTTTCATACAGAGATACAGTGGAGGTATTACAACAATGGCTCCTTAAAAAAGCCAAAACTCTTCCGACTAGTACTTTCTAACCAGCAATCTGCCCTGATCCAGAGTTTGCATAATCAGTAGTTCAACACTGTTAGACTCCTGCCTAGAGTATTGAAGCTAGCACTTAAAACTCCTTTTCACAAGCACTTAAAATCCCCTTTCACAATACACAATTTACTTCTACAAATAAGTACAAGTCTACATTCTCTTCTGGGGATACTTCAGGGTCAGGATTTTCCCATCTTGGTTCCCACTTTCTATTTCCTACTAACTACTCTCTCTTTCTTCCTTTCAGTAAAATTTCTTATTTTTTTCTGGGTATGTGGCACAACAACTTAGCAGCTAAGTGGTATCTCTGCTGTTACACTGAGGCAGTTACAGAGCTGAAATGGAAACATGATAGAGGATGACACCAGAGCAGTACATGGAACAAGCACTTAGGTGATCATGCGGACTGGACGATCAGAGGAATAGCACAAGCTACCTTTACTCCTGCTTTAGTAATGGATATAGTTTGCTGCTCCATTGCTTCATGAATGGCTACTTGATCCCGCATGTCCATTTTGTCAAATTCATCAATGCAACAAACCCCCTACAGCAGAAGAATTAAAAATAGCAAGTTACCCAAATTTGATCACTTTTGGAGAAAAACCATCTTAAAGACAGTTTTGGGCTTTTTGTCACTAATCATAATCATTCCACGGATGGAGGAACTCTCTAGCTAGTGGACTTACATTATCTGCCAACATCAGTGCTCCAGCTTCAATAACAAATTCGTGAGACTCTTCATCTTTTACAACAGCCGCCGTTAGACCGGCGGCACTGGAGGCCTTTCCGCTGGTGTACACGGCACGAGGACTGAACTCTTCCACATGCCTATTGAGAGAAGTAACAGTGAGGAATTGAGTTGCGTGAACTTAAAAAAAAAAAAAAAGAAACAAAACATTAAAACCTGCAGAAACAAGACAGCTTTAACACAGCACTGCTTTCAAACTCTAAAGCCAAAACTCATTCCTTCTTTCAGACAGCAAGGACTTACTATTAATATTTAGGTAGGCCCTCCCATCGATATCGATGTTCAAGAGCGTCCTTGGGAAATAATAACCATCTAACTGCAGGCTGTCAAAGGTCTGTTATTCACCTCTGGCTACACTGCCAGAAAAAATAACCCAGACCTCCTCCTAAAGGGTTTCTGCTGACTTCACAGGCTAACACAGCTCCTCACAGGTCAGGTGAAAGTCAGCACAAAGAAACAAATAGCTTCATAGCAGGAAGCAGCTAGACTGGCCTCAGGCAGCCTAAAGCAGCCTCTGTGGCGCCTCCACACTTCTGAGATATGGTGTATGCTGCAAGTATCTCGGCCTCGCGGAGAAAGATGCAGAGGTAAGTGAACGCAGTGTTAGCAACCCTGTGCTTCCTGTGCCAACCAACACATCAAGTCAGTCCTCCAGAACAGTAGTCCCCAAACTGGTCTGCCACAGAAAGCGGTATGCAAGGAACATAATAAAATACGAAATAGTATTTCAATTAAAAAAAAAAAAAAGCATAAGACTGAGTAGTCAACAATTGTTATTCAGAGGTAACAGCTGTCTATTTGTCTGAAGTGTTTGGGACCCTCCAATTTAGACTGAGCTAAAAATGAATGAAACAGAAAAAATCATTAAGATACGCAATAAACTCTGTAGCTTTGATATTCAATGCCTTTCAAAAAGATTTGGAAATATGTATTTTCCTAACTGCCTAAACAACAACCACCAAAATCTTAATTCATTCCTTGCTGTTGCTGCCACAGGGGCTTGTTAAATTTGCTTCAGCCCTATTCAAGTAACTCAGCCACACCCAAGCAATTTCTGGAAAATATTCTTCAATATGGTACTTCCCTTTCCTCTGTTTAAGGTTAAAAAAAAAAAAAAAGCACAGTAAACACTTACAGCTCTAGTCACACTGGTTAACATTTCAATATTGAGTTTTAAAGAGATGCTTACTTTAGAAATTGGCTCTTGGCTGTACTTGGATCACCAACAACACAAACATTGATGTCCCCACGCAGTGAAGTGCCTTCTGAAGTGGTCTTTGGAACTCCTCCGAAAAGCATCAGCAGAACTCCACGTTTCACTTCATCATTACCTGTCCCAGAAAAGATACTCAAAAAAAAAATCCAAAACACAGCTCCCTGTTTTTCCTATTTAAAAAATATTCTGATTTTAGAATTTTAGAGCATCTTGGCTCATCCCCTCAGAATCCACTTGCTTGCTAAATATCCACTAAAAACTACATTTATGTGCTCAAGCACAAAATCAAGGAAGAATGACTCAGATGGCAGGTGAATTCCTTAACGCGGCAGTAGCTCACAATATGGATAAAATTCAGCCGGTAGCTTTTCAGACATAAACAAAGTAAGCAAGCCAACTAGTTCAGAGCCAGAAGCAAGAACTTCAAACACACTCTTAGACGTGCGTGCATAAGAATATGCAAATATTTGGGACTCTTACATCTTTTGAAGGATGCCCATGCAAAATAAAGCATCTATCCGACTATGAGTTGTTGAGTTTAGCTGTAGATGATCCAATAGCAAAACCAACCATTTTGACTTAGGCGTTAATGTTTGAACACAGGTTCTCCCCTCCTAGCAAAATCAGTGATGGAGGGGACAGCTCGAGACAGTTGGCACAGGGCTACAAAATGGCACTAAAAAGACATCAGAAAGAACTGATATTTTCACAAGTGAGATGTCCCCGCTTTGATGCAACAAGTGGACTCTTACCGTGGATAGTGGGGAAGAGGCTGGTACACAGATTGTGATAGAGGTTTTTATCCTGGCTCATTTCAAACACCTTTTCCCATTCTTTCACAGACATTTGGTTCTTAATGCTTTCCGCAGTCTGTTCTTCATCTCGGAGCTCTTTTCCACCAAACTAAACAAAGGATATTCAAAATATAAATGTTATACCAATGAAAAATATGGCCATTACTGAATGAAAACACTGCAGACAAGAGGTTATACAAGTTTGCTGTGTAAGCTGAGTAGGAGGAACACATCCAAAAAGGCTGACCTCAGGTTAAGGAAGCACATCACCTTAGACCTTAAAAAAAAAAAAAAAAAAAAAAAATCACACACCAAAAAACCCTCAGAGAAAGACAATTCCCCAGGGGAATTACAAGGCCCTTTATTACTCTAGAATGAGACAGGAAACTTCTACACCCAGGAAATAACAAACACTGCTTTTGTTGTACGTGATGGTCAAGCTGCTAGCAGAATTATGGATTAAAATATCATAACGGCTAGTGAGATCATAACAATAATATAACCATGGCTAAAACCCAGCCACAATCAATATTATTTATTAATGCTGTAGTAACATCCAATGGCTTCATAAGATAAAATAGAGGGAACAAGAAGGATGCTTTATTTTGTCACAGTGGGGGGGAAAAAGCTATGAGGATTCCCTGGAGAAGGAAGAAATGCTGGAGAAATGGGTGAAGGCTGAATGCAGACAAGGGGATCATTTATCTCTTTAGAACAAGTTGATAAAATTGTCTTTACAGTTCATAGCAGTCTTCACAGATGTGTTATCTGCCAAGGAAAGAACTTGCTATATAAATCCAATCAGAATATAGAGTCAAATGTAGAGTAATGTGGTACATATATAAAATTAAAGCTTTAGCCCCCCTCAACTTGAAGTAAAAGAACAGAACAGAAATCATCAACATTTTTAAATCTATTTTCTTTCCACACTCACCCGTGGATTTGTTGGTGCAACATAACAAGCTAGGAAGACTAGTTTATATGACAGCTCTCTGACTCCCAGGGCACGAAGTCCTCGGATTCCTTCGGTTTCATAGCCCTCCGTCCCGCTTACCCGGGAGCCAGTCTCTGCACGCACCCCTGCCATTAGAACAAAGAGTCAGAACAACAGTTCCCAGAACAAGCAGGGGAGGGGACATCCCATTGAGAGTGCAATGAACAGTATAAGCAGTAGCAACAAACCTGGTGTTGAGAGTTGAGCCACATCAGGCACGACAATCAGTGATCCTGTGAAGTCACATTTGTCACCAGCCTGAGCAGACTCTACTGCTTCTGCACGCAAGATCACTTCTACGCTACGAGGAATGCTACCACGCGGCAGCTCGGCCTGTGTTTCCTGAATGCGAACCTGAGGATTAGAAAAATATTAGAGCGCTCAGCAGACACAACCAAGTTCGAAACCATTTTAAAATCAAAGCTGCTAGCAAATAAAGTAAGTGGCATTTGCTCACTGCCATCTATGTCAATCTTATGAAAGTCCTCTTAAAATGATACAAACAAAACACCCCGTTACTAATCACTATCTACAGTCTTGGAGAAACCAAAGGGAACGCTCAGGAGAGCTCAGTTCTGAGGACTGAGAAAAGCACTCCAGACACTTAAAACATTCCAATTAATGGGACAAATGCAAAATATTATTGTAAGATTTGATGCATGGAGGATTTGGCAAAGTAAAACAATCTAAAGGAGTGAAACACTGAAGAGACTAGAGACACTTCTTTTTATACTTGTATAAAATAATTATACTTGATGAACCTGCCAGAGGAGACTGACAGTGACCTAAATATGTGGGCTTTTTCTGGCTTACTTAGAAAATAAATGTCATGTGATAAAGCTGCTTTGATTCTATTTATAACTTCCCAAGGCTTAAAAATAAGTCTTCCATAGACAGAAAGAAACTGTTAGTAGAAACTCCCATGCATTTTCTTGAGGCCTTTTCTTGATGCTGACAGAACTAAAATTAACTACCATCAATGTGTAGCAGTGCAAACAATACCCTTTCAACTAGCACAGGAAAGTCTTTATTAGTCCCTCCCCACACCCCCCACCAATATACCTTTT